AACAGTTGATGGATGAGCTGAATCTTAACACAAGAGTCCAATTTTCCTGGATGGCTGGAGAGAGGAATGGTGTTTTAGTTGGGGGAGTTGCATAAAGAGATGGAGGCTTTAGAAAGTAATGTTCACGGGAATGTCAGTGCTGGGGACAGCTGAAGCACCACGATGCAAGATGGAAATGACCTTGGAAAGAGGCCAAGGCCAGGCGATCAAGTACCTTGTTCACTGTTAAGGAGCTTGGATATTTTCTGCAGCCCTAAATGAGAAGATTGCTGGATACAAGGACAATATTACCAACCAGACACTCTCAAGGTAGTGTCGAAGTCCAGAAGAGCATCTGATTGTGAATAAAGAAAGTTCCTACAATTGGCAGATTAAACACTCCTCACTGATTTGAAGTTCAATTTACTTTCAACACTCCCTCACACCCCTACAACTCCTCACAATTTGCTTTTGCTTCTTTACTCCAGGTTAGGGTAGAGTCTCTTCCACTTAGCTTTCAGTGCTGTCTTCTCCCGGACCTGACATTTGGGACTAGAGCCAAGCCAAAACTCCAGGGCCAGGCTTGGAGAGATTGAGAGTCCTCAGACCACTCTGCCAGCTCATGGCCATGGGGAGGTCTAGAGGCCATAAGGAAAGTTCTTCAGTTGCTTTTCAAAGAGCACCACCCATCATTAATAGTCTAAGGTTAACAACACCTTCTCCTTGGGGTTTGGGGCACAGAAGGAGCCTGCCCTGGGCTAGGTGCTTGGGGAGCAGGCCCCAGGTGGTGGTGGGGGGCACTGCAACCCACATTCACACCCCAAGAAGACAATTTGTCCTGGACCTCAGGTGAGTGACTCTTGAGACCTTCTTTGTCCCTAGCCCCCAACCCCTAATCCCCAACCCCTGACCTAGAACAGATTGTGATTTCTGGTGATATCTTCAAATCAGTTTCCACATGCTGGGGAAATCTGAGGTATTACTGACGTCTTTTCTTTGCGGTGATATTTACCTGAAAATGCGAACGAGGCAGATGCTAGTCCAAGCACAAGTAAATTCACCCTCTTTTCACCGACTTCGACAGGCTCTCCAGGCCCACCCCACACCGGGGTGCTAAGCTGCCTGCTCGTCCCAACTGGAGACCCAACACCGTCCTTAATTAAGTTCTTTTCTGACTGTCGCCAGGTGCGTCCTTCTGCGGGACAGTGTTAATTCCAGCCTCCGGGGGAGAGATCTAGCCCCTTTTCCAGACGCGTCTGCCCTTGCGCTCAGCCCCTACCAGGAAACCCCCTGCGGCGCCCCATGGCCCCCCTTCCCATGGACGGGAGAGTTGCTCGTTAAGCTGCCTTGCCGGGAAGTTCACATCTAGCGCCCACTCCCGCGAACCCCGTATAAAAGGACCAAGGAGAGCGACCAGGACTAGGTGTGGAGGAGGAGAAAGAACGGAAGAAAAGTGACCCATCGAGAGGCCGCCGAGCATCCTTGCTCCGGCGCAGCGAGTCACTCAGAGAGCAGCCTCTCCGCGACAGGTAAGGGCGCAGCGGCGCCGAACCTCACTCTTACCCTGGGACTCCCTGCTCCGGGACTCCCTGCCCCGGGACTCGGGAGGCTCTTGCTCGCGTTCCCCTGTGTTCTTTGAAAACTTTCTGTACTGAGTGCGGTGTGGGAAGCCTCCGGCAGCAGAGCGGCGAGGGCCAGCTCCCGGACTGGGCGAACGGTGCGACGCTGAGCAGTGACTTCCAGGAGCAGGTGGCCAGTCTCCCCCCCCCCCTCAGGAGTAGGGCTGCTTGAACCCCTGAGACTCCTACTGCCTTCTGGAGAGATCTCTGGAGAACCCGGTTTTAGGGCACTTCTTCCTCCTGATTTTCTGGGTAGATGTCACATATACCATATACTCCAGTGCAATTAATGTTGGAAACGGGGTGGGGGGGTAGGAGACAGGAGAGAAAAGGCTAAAAGTCACAACAAACTCCTTGCATTTTAGACTATTTTGGATTCAGACCCCCGAATCCTCGTTTTTCTGCCCACCTTAGCGCACTCGATGGGGCTGCACTATAAGGACCGGGGCTCCTCTACAACAAAACACTAAGCCGAGTTAAGAGGTGGCCCGGGTAGGAACTGTCCGAGGTCCTGAACCACCCTGTCTGCGCTCTCAATAGGACAGCAGAGTGGACCTTCTGTCCCGCAACCCTGAATTGCAGGACGGAAGCAGCCGACTCAGGTTCAGGCAGAGGTGGTTTCCGGAGAAGGAGGGAGAGTCTGCAGGGCATGTGGATCCCCCAAATTCTTCGTGTCTAAATGGGGGAGGTGATGGTTCTCACAGAACCGCTGGAAAGAGCCAAGGAAAGTAAAAGTATTTGTTTTATCAGTTGTTAAGACTATGGTTTATTTAATGACAATAATCCTTTGATACTTCTGTTTTAGGACTTGATGCATGTGTATGTTGGTGCAAGGATAAAACTCTGCACCTTTAATCTTTACACAAGGGCATTGCCAGTGTGCAGCTTTAGAGGAACACAACGTCTTATTTAGCCACTGAAAATTCACCTACACATGTGAAGTTCTAACGAGTGTAGTTCTGTTATAAACCTAATGTCCAGATGAACAAAATACAGCCTTCTATTTATTTTTCCAAGGCTTTCAAAACACTCTCCCTACTTACAGAAAGCACAGTATTTGACATCTCCCCATTAGGTACTATACTGATCTTTAAAAATGGCACAGGACAATATTTATACATTGTAGAAAAATAAAGACCACACACAAGCAAAAATAAAACAAGTTGCTTTCAGGAAACAATCTAACTTTTAGCGGTCCAATGTAGCTCTGAGAGGGTGGGAAGTGAGAAAGTGAGGTGTTTACAGCACTGCCAAGGTAAGGAAGCTCTCCAGGAGGCCTGCAATCATGAGGTAGGTTTTTAGAAAATGAAAATCACTCTAGAATGGCCAATTGTGATAAGAATTGAAATATACTTGAGAAAACTGTCAGACCTGTATGATTTTACTTCTCTCTCTACTCATGCTATTTTACACTTGCCACAGTGATATATGATTATCATTTTTCTGCTTCTTGTGTAAATCTGGGCATTTTTCTGAACCAAGTGTGCTATGTGGTCTCAGAGCTGTAGTTTAAATTGCCTTGTCCAGCAAGTTCAGGCTTCATACTTGAACTGGAGCATCAAAAAGCCTCAACAGGAGCAGCCTGTCCCTGGTCACCAGTGGACATCAAGGTTGACCAATGTCTCCCAGTTGCCTGGGGTGCTGATGGGACGGCTCACTGGCTGCCAGCGCCATCTAATGGCTGCCTTGAAAACATTCAGGCGGTACCTGGCTGCTATTCAGAAGGTTGTCCTGAGCTGGCTCAGGTTTGGGAAAATAAGTAGGGGTGGGGCAGAGAAGAGGAAGTAGATTTCTGAAGTGAACAATGAGAGCCAGAAAGAACTTTCACTTCCAAAGCCCTCCCTATAAAAAAGATTTGGCCCACACATCCACAAATAAGAGGTTTCTTTTAGGCAAACATTTTAAGTGCAAATCTCCACTAGGAGAGACAATCAGTCTTCACCTTAATGTGAATTACTTTTCTCATCTAATTCAGTCTCCTCTTAACAGCTGGTTGAGAAGAGCTTCTGCAATACAAAATAATTGTGGGGTTGGTGGTGAGCTGATGTCAGAACTTGGGATCACTTCAAGGGGCCAGCCTGGGTGAGGAGGGATTGATTTGACAGTATGAGACCTAGAGGGCTGGGGAAAGCATTGGGCACAAGGGGCATCATACACTCTGATCTCTTGACCTCAGCATCTGCAGAGAAGTACTTGACAGTGTCCTTGGCAGGGGTTCACAATGGGAGGTGATCCCCTTCTGCCCTGTGTGTTCATCTCTTTCCCTTCTACACCTACAGCATCTTCAAGTCCAACTATTTCAGACTACATTTGAGACAATCAGAGATCAAGCGGTCTGACATGTAATGTGTTCAGAAGATGACTCACTTTTATTTTTTTATTTTTAATCCTCACCTGAGGATTCCTTTTTCCCATTTATCTTCAGATAGAGTGGGAGGTGGGGGGGGGGGGAGAAACATCAATGTGAGAGAGACACATTGACTGGCTGCCTCCTGCACAACCCCAACCAGGGCTAGAGACCCGAACCGCAATGAGGTACGTGTCCTTGACTGGAATCAAACCCGAGACTCTTTGGTCTGGGGGCAGATGCTCTAACTGCTGAGCCAAACCCTCCAGGGCAAGATGACTCACTTTTAAAAAAATGTGGGGGTCACTTTAAAAATAAATCTCTCCAAAGTTGCAGGGAAATAGTGATCACCTGAGTGATTTATTTATAGGACAGCAAATTGGGTTTTGGCTAAATTGGCCATAGGTTTTATTTGCCTTTGGCTGAGGTTTTGACCAAATTGGCCAGAGGTTTTATTTGCCTTTATGTAAACTTACTGTTTACAGGAAACAGAGTTTCTGAGGAATGGTAGGATCTTGGAGGGGGAGGAGGGGAAGAGACCACCTTGAGCAGGAGTTTCAGAGTCCTTGTTTTTCCCATTACTCCTTGAATCTGAAGTGTTCAAACTACAGATAGCTTCATGAAGTTGGTGAAATAGGAAAGCTCTGTACTATACACAGAACTTAGCCTTACCTTGTCACGTACACCAAAATTATTGTCTCTCTGGGCCTCAGTTTCTCTCTTTCTCAAATAAGAGGCTAAACCAAATGAACCCTAAGTAGCTTCCAGCCCTAATCTTCTTTGGGGTCTGATCTTTAATAGGAGGTAAGGGGAAATTTGCACACGGTTTGCCCAGGTCCTACTCCCTGCCTCTCTAGCACAACTCACACCACCACCCTGCACACCAACCTTCTCCTTAAACTGCTCTTGTCCTCAAAAAACCTTGAGCTCCACAAGTGATTGTGTTGTTAATGTTGGCTCCCTGTCCTTCCTGGTGAGTGGCAAGCATTGTTCTGCTCCGCGCAGGGGTCCCACCAATCTTGTTTATCTCTGCAGAGCCTCAGCCTGCTTGGAAGATGCCTAGATCGTGCTGCAGCCGCTTGGGGGCTCTACTGCTTGCCTTGGTGCTTCAGGCCTCCACGGAAGTGCATGGCTGGTGTCTGGAGAGCAGCCAGTGTAAGGACCTCACCAGGGAAAGTAACCTGCTGGTACGTGGGCCACAGCTGTCGTCTTGGTTTGGGCATCAGGTGGAACTGGGGCTGGGACAGCACAAAAGAAGGTGCTATCAGTAAGGGAAAATTCATTCCCAGAGATACGGGTAACTCAACTCCAGTCAGGAACAGACCCCCAGGGTGAAGTCAGCATTGGACCAAGGAGGAGAAGCAGCAGCTGCAGGAAGATGGGTCTGGTCCACAATTTCTGCTCATCATCTTTACTCCCTGTCTTCTTGTATGGAGATCCCACTCCATTTAGGCTATTTAGAGATAGTGCCATTAAAGTAATACTAATACTAGTAATAATAATTGCTCCTCAATTGAGCCTATATTTTCAATCTTTCAGCTCCCAAGTTATTTCTTTTAAAATAACCTCATATCCTTTGCCATTTCATTCCATTTTTCTTCCCTTTCTATCTACTACCAGTTGCAAAACCAGCCAGATAGAACTGCAAATCATCTCCAGAGGGAGAAGGAACCCAGGTGCCATTTTCCTCTAACTGGTGCCAAATGTCTCATGCTTCTTCTGGAAGACTGACCTTCTGCAACCTTTCCAGAAGCATATAAAGGTCCCTTGTGCCAGGCTGGAATTCCCTCCAGGGCACCACAGGGCGTGTGTGTGTGTGTGTATGCGCGTGTGTGTGTATGCGTGTGTGTGTGTGTATGTATGCGTGTGTGTATTAGGAGGCACAAGTGAGAGATGATAGCAAGTCAGGGCTAAAAGAACACGGCTGGTGTCAGTGACGGAGTTCCATCCTGCTGCCAGCGCCTGCCTGGTAAGGGTGAAATGCATATCATTACATTCAGTGTGTTTTGTCAATGGAGCAACTGAGCTGAGGTAAGAGAGACACTTTCTCAAAAACACAGAGCAGGATGCATGTGGAATATGAAATAGAAACAAGAGCCCAGGGGATTCTGAGGGTTCTAGTTCAGAGAGATCCAAGAGACTTGGAGATACCCACTGCATAGCCTCTCCTGTTGAGAGCTCACTAGGGAAGGAGCATTGGTCATGGTCAGAACACATGGGTTCTAGTCCCAGTTCTGTCACCAGTGAGCTGTAGAACCCTGCCAAGGAACTTTCACCTCTCTGAGCCTCCTGTTTTATGTGTCCAGAGGAGAGGAGTATGACGCTGTTTTCATTTTCCCATTAATATTCTGCCGTGTTATAATTCTAAATCCTTGGAGCATAAAATTCCCAACTGAACAGAGTGGGTGGGACCTTTCTGTTTCCTCCTTTGCTGTCCCGAGTAACTGAAAACTCAAGGCTGCAGGCTATAGGTCATTTTCCTAAACAAATGTGTACCTCAGTTGACTTGTCTAGTAACAGAGAGCAGAGACCTAGGTTTCCCGACCCTTGCGAAGGAAATAATCTTGGCTTTCTACCCCTCCCTCCAAGCAGAATGAGGTGACAGGGAAATGAATCACACCCCTTCCAAAGCTCACTGCTTGGAGAAAGCACAGGATCAGCTCAGACTTAAGAACCATAGAAAGTGCCAGATGGGTGTGGAAAAGTGTTGAGAGGTGGTGGGAGGAGATGGCTCGGTAGGTAGTGCACGAGGTAGGTTTGCAGATCACTGGGGTAAGGTTGAGGCATTATTCAAAATATAGGCTCTAGAAGTCAGATTTCTACTTCTGCCGCCTGGGGAGATTCTCCTCCTAATTTCAGCTCAATGCCCCACCTAAACTCGAATTGAACCATATTGATTAATTCAATATTTATTAAGTGCCAACAACGCCCACCCTCCTGCCAGTGATTAATTCCTATCTATGAGGCATGTAACGGCTATGTTGACCTGCTCACAAAAGCTGAGAAAAGTAAACCACTTAGGAGAATGGGGTGTTTTTTACCGGGCAGAATACTAGGGTGCAGGGGACAAAAGAGACGACGCTCACGCGGCGTGGATGTCCGTGGTGCCAAGTGGCCGGGTGGGCAGACGTCCTGGGCCGGGAGGCCCTTGCAGCCGGGAGGCTGGCAGGAGAGGGCCGCGGGGCGTGGAGGGCGCAGGCGCAGTGCGAGGGGCGCCGCGGCCGAGCGTGGGTGCGGGGCCGCGGGGCGCGGGGTGACCTCGCGCGCTCTGCTTTCCCACAGGCCTGCATCGGGGCCTGCAAGCCCAACCTGTCGGCGGAGACGCCCGTGTTTCCCGGCAACGGCGAGGAGCAGCCGCTGACCGAGAACCCCCGGAAGTACGTCATGGGCCACTTCCGCTGGGACCGCTTCGGCCGCCGGAACGGCAGCAGCGGGCTCCGGAAGCGCGAGGAGGAGCGGGTGGCGGCGGGCGACGGCGATGGCGCCGGCGCCGGGCCGAGCCCAGGCGAGGGCAAGCGCTCCTACTCCATGGAGCACTTCCGCTGGGGCAAGCCGGTGGGCAAGAAGCGGCGCCCCGTGAAGGTGTACCCCAACGGCGCCGTGGACGAGTCGGCCGAGGCCCTGCCCTTCGAGGTCAAGAGGGAGCAGGCCGGGGAGCCGGCGCTCAGCCCCGAGGGCGCGGCCGCCCGAGCCTCCCTGGAGTACGGCCTGGAGGCGGAGGCCGAGGCGGGGCCGCCGCTGAAGAAGGACGAGGGGCCCTATAAGATGGAGCACTTCCGCTGGGGCAGCCGGCCCAAGGACAAGCGCTACGGCGGCTTCATGACCTCCGAGAAGAGCCAGACGCCCCTCGTGACGCTGTTCAAAAACGCCATCATCAAGAACGCCCACAAGAAGGGCCAGTGAGGGCGCGCAGAGGGGCTCCCCTCCGCGGGAAGGCGACCCGCAGCCCCTGCTGGCCGCTGCGCCCCAGCCCGGTGGGCCACTCGCGCAGGCGGGAGCGGCAGATGGTCGTCCTGTTGCAGCTGTCTGTAGTTAGCAAATAAAACCTCTCGAGTTGCACATCTGCCTCTGACTTTGAGTGTTGACTGAGTGAATGAAATAGAAACACATATCCACCAACTGGAGAGCAGCATATAGTGGAGGAGAGACAGAACGGTTTCCGTGTGACCAAGCGGCAGTACATTTCATAAGACAGAGTGGAAAGGAGATGCACTTCCCTATCCCCTAAATAAATGAGCCAGCAAGGGTCAAATCGTTTAGATAATGGCTCAGGGTGACCCCATTTGCCACCTTTCGTTGGCAGGGAAAAGACTGCTCAGCCAGAAAATGCACCAAAAAGCAGGATTCCTACAAAAATGACCCTACAAGAGTGACCCTGGCACCTGTCCAAGAGCCAGCCCAACATGGCAACTAGAAGGGCTCTGTGGACTGGAAGTGGGGAAGCTGTGGTAATGTACCCCCTGGATCTAGCTAGCTGTGTGGCTTTAGGCAAGTCTGAACTTATCCAAGATTTAGTTCAGCTTCCCCTCCCTTCCTAGTGTGAGAGCTATTGTGCAGATTAAAAAAAAAAAAAAGATTTGATCTTTTTTCACCGAGAAGGTAGGTGTGAGTGCTGATGGTTGATATTCAAATTTACACACCCCGATACAACCATTCTCAAACACACGGTCTCACCCACATTGAGACACACACCCATGGAGACACATCTGTATATATACAACACAATATACACAGATACATATTCCAGTCCCATGGGCTCAAGCCTTGGGGTCTCTGTCTTTTCCCCCAGCTATGCCCACATTCTCTCTTGATGTTACCCAGCCTAAACCTTTCTCATTCTCAGTGCTCCTGGCTCTGCTGTTGTAACAGCTTCCGAACCAACTGGTCTTGTCTGCAGTTGCTCCCCTCCCAACCTGTCAGACACAAATTCTTCATAGTAATGTATACAAAATCTTGCTTTCCCCACATTCCCTGGCTCAAGAACTAAAAAAGTCGCTTCATCCCAATTTTCCATCAATTCCAAACGACAAGGCAAGGTGTGCTGGGCTCTTGTCAATGAAATTCATGCTCTTTATTGAACCCCACTTCCCATGTTCCCACCTACTGGTCGTCTCTCTCCTCCCATCCTCCTTCACTTTGCCTGGAATTCCCCACATTCTCCCACCATTTTGAACGTTACCCCTATTTCAACATGAGCCCAGGCTCAAGTCCACTTCCACTGGGAAAGTTGTAATCTCTTCCAGCCAAACCCACTCATTTGCAGTGTTTCTGCAGTCAGTCCCCCCTCAGTGGAGGGCATATGGTCTTGGCTTGAATGGCAACTTTCTTGCTGTATATATGCCTTGTGCTCTCCACAGGGAAACCCAAGCTCCACTAGGGCAGAGGTCACAGGCTGGGTTTCTTTTTTTTTTTTTTTATCCTCACCCGAGGACATTTTCCCATTTTTTGTTCAGGTAGAGTGGGAGGGAGAGAGAGGAACAGAGAGAGAGAGAGAAACATTGATGTGAAAGGAACACATCGAGTGGCTGCCACCTGCAAGACCGACCAGGGCCAGGGACAAACTGCAACCGAGGTATGTGCCCTTAGCGGGAACCAAACTCGGGTCTCTCTGGACGCAGGCCGATGCTCTAACCGCTGAGCCAAACGGGCCAGGGCTGGGTTTCTTTTATATGTCCCCATGATATTTGCACAATGCTGGGCCCATAGGTTTGCAGCCACACACATTTCCAATTCACAAGAGACTCACAGATAGTCACACACACAGAAATGTACACATACACGTCAACTGCATTAGACAAACCAGTGGGTGGTACAGATCCAAAATGGCTGGAAAAGGTTTGTGTATATTATGATGTTGATCTAGGAGTTCACAATGGAAGAAAACTGGAATGCCCTGATGTAAGGAATCAGAGAGCCAGATTCCTAAGAGAAAGTCTTCCCACTATAATGAAGAAATGGCCCACACCTTCCCATCAGGATGCTGGGGATCCTGGGGCTCATGTTTACATCTTGGTAGCATCCTTTACCCTACCCTCCTTCCTTTTCTGGCAAGTAAAGTAATGGCAGGTGGGGGTGGCTAAATGTCAGTGGTTAATGTTGGTATTTTGAGATCCTGTTTACATCTCAAAAAACCATTTACTTTAAAGAAATCAAACAGACAACCATGTGGTGACAACATTAACATTTATTTGAAAAGGGCATCATAAAGGCTCAATGGGAAATCAGGACTAATAGTCCTAAAGAAGGATCCTGCTAAGAGTCCTTCTTCCTACACTCCTTGCCCCCACCCCTTTCCCTTTCCTTAAAACTAATTTGACTCAATGAGTTTAAAATACAGAAAACTGCCACAGGCACTAATTCTGCACTCCCATATAAATATGACAGCTATTATATACATATATCATCAACTAGGAGCTACATTACACACACATGCACACACACGGGCACACACACTCTCAGCCAGGTCATGAAAGTCTAAATGGACACAGACATGTTATAATGTATGGGCTGCAGCATTTGTGGAGTTACAGCTCTGTGGCCCACAGGCCAGAATCCACAGTCATGGAGGAAGAGCTCAAAAGGGGAAGATGATGAGGCCCTAAGGTCTCCTGGAGGAGAATAGTGCTGGTCAACCTAGCTGGTTCTAAAAGAGAGCACAGAAAACTGCCTTCTGACCCCAACAGGCCACAGAGTCCCAGCACTGCTTCGGTCTTCTTCCCACTTCCCTAGCTGGCCAGGCCCACCTTGACCATCCTCTCTAGTCTCCAGATGTGGCCAGATTTGGGATTAGGAACCTGTAAACTACAAGATTTCTCAGGTTAATAGGATGAAGCAGCAGCACACTGCCCTACACTGTTTCCCCAGACATAAGAAGATATCTTGTTTCCGGTCTATGGGTCAGGGGGAGCGGGCATGGCCTGCCCAGATGAGCTGATCTCCTTGTCTACCTTCAAATTTGCCAAATGCCATTTCCTGGTCATGAAGAGGAATTGGGAGAAAAAACCTCATTTCTCAGTGACATACTCTGCACCCAGGTTAGAAGAACTGGGGACAATGAAATAGCAACTGGTATCGTGACCCAGAGGCCCCCAGAGAAGCCCAGAGGTCTGCCTTTGAGCCATTTAAAGGTACCCCAAGGTGTGCCCTGGCCGGTTTGGCTCAGCAGTTAGAGCATTGGCCCGCGGACCAGACAAACCCGGGTTCGGTTCCCGCTGAGGGCACATACTCTCAAAAAAAATTGTTTTTAAAGGTACTCCAAGGCTGTTCTAATCCTTAAACCACTTAAAACATGTTCTCTGGGACCCAGAACATCTAGGGCAAAGGGCAGTGCGTATGTGACTGTCGAGCTTCTGCAAGCACTCCAGTGGGTCCAGCTTCACCTTTTCAGTGCTCATCCGTTTGCACTTATGTATGAGGCGGAGAGCTGCACAGAAATTATCTGAGGACTTTTCTACCCTTCTGCCCTGCTTGGGTTCCTTCTCTGGAGAGGAGGCAGTTAGGAATCAAGAAATCACTTATTTCTACTTTGCAGAGAGAGGAGAAGGGGAACAGGCACAGGGCAAGGAAAATAGGAGGAACCTCCAGGATCACATTCTTGCTGACCTGCTTCTGATGCACGGACGCGATTCCACCCAATTGACAAAACTTCCAAATCTCACATACATTCACACCCATGAAGTTCTGTTAGCAGAGTGCTAACCAAACCTACCCCTTGAGTCTTTAGTGGCCTAGGGGAGCAGTTGGTCTGCATGGGCTTGCAGACAAGGGTAGCAAAAAAGGGTCAGTCACAAGACACCGTGCCATCAGACGCTGTGGGGCTCAGGAGGCAGGAAGCAGTGACAGGTGCTAGGCCGAGGGCCTGGGCACCCACCAAACTGCTTTGTGTCCATTCCCAGGGCTTGTGCAGGGGCAGAGGGGTGGTGGGAAGGAGATGGCTTAATTTATCATTTAATTGTCTGTTTGAGGAAACAATCACCTTAAACTTTCCGATTCTGAGTCATACTTGGCCAGAATCCAGGTTCTACCTCCTGTCAGCAGGCAGGAGTATAAGTTTCAGTTGAAACTGGGAAGAGGGCACTCAAAAAACCAGCCAGTTCTCTAAAAGAAACACATCTTTGCTATGCAGCTGTGATGGAAAGAAAAAGCTGCTTCGGACAGAGAAGAGGAAGGAGCAGCTGAGTGTGTGAAGAATGGGAACCCCACACCTTTCTCTTCATCCTGCTCCCTGCGGGGGATGGGGGAGACACGTGGGTGGACTTCAGGTCTCTGGTCCCGGTGCTGGCTCTAGAAAGAGGCTCTCATGTCCCAGAACCAGGGTCCCAAGATCAGGGTGCAGTTGCCATGGGAATGGACCCTAAAGGCAAGGAGGCACCAGGAAGAAACAGGGTTCCTCATCAAAGCTGAGCAGGGGACACAGATGGGAAGATCCCGTGAGGAAGGACATGTTTGTGGCTCCAGATTTAGATTTCCTGTCAAGTTTATTCCCAAGGTTATTTGCCTTCGAGTTTGTTTTGAGTTATTTGAAATGTGTTTCTTTAATAAAGAGATATTAACATAAGGAGAAATCTCAGTTCATGCTTGTAAAGTTGGGTTGAGCATTAGCCTAAAATCAGACGGGAGCTGAAGCTGGGCCCTGTGAACATGCCACTGTCTGGAAGCTGCAGGCCCGTAGCACAGAGGCAGCGCCAGGGGAAACTACAAGCACAGGGTCAGAAAGCCCCCTCCCAGAGAGATAACCACATGTTATCACATACACATGTCAGATTTCTCCCTGCTGAGAAAATGCACCTGTCTGTCCTGACCATCAGGCTCTCACTGCGTCTGGGCAGGGTCGTGCAGGGTCGTGCAGGGTCGTGCAGGGTGTGACCCGAGGGTGTCCTGGAAAGACTGCCAGTCCCTTAGCAGAAACAGCCTGCCCCTGACCCTACCCCACATCGCCTAAAATTGTACCTTTCGGGTCAAGAAATCTATTCACCCTCCCTCTTTTTAAAGCACAAATTCTCCAGGGAAGACTCATTTGGTCATTCAGACCTTACTGGGAGTTACACCAGCTCAGAAAAGTTATGGGAAATGTCACTGGGAGAGAAGAACCACTTTGGGGCCATGGGGCGCTGTCTCGGGAGGAGGCCCAGGCGAGGTCCTGCCAGAGGCAGTGGGGGACGAGGACGGGAAAGTGGAGGGTACAACAAACAGCCTCCTGGCCCCTCCTCTGCACACAGACAGGCACACGGGACTCAGGGGACATGCAGAACCCAAATGGTCTCCATGGCTTTCCCCAGGCCTCAAACTTTGCCAGTTGGCACCGAGGTCTAGACTTTGTCCAGAGAGTGAAAAAAATCATTCCAGTATCAGGCACTGGGTCCTTCTTTCCTCAAATGAAACATCCAAAAAGGCTGACTTCTGACATTCTTGAGTCCCACAGTGCTCTCCCCGACTCCCACGCTCCCCAGCCCCTCCCTCCCCCAGCACAGCCAGGCCAGGAGCCTCTTCCATAGGAGGCGATGTGGGCAGGCCTGGGGCCCTGCAGTTGCCCCTCTTGGAGTCATCTAGAACTGAATTATCTGGCCCTGCCCTCCCTGAACCCAGAGGCTGTAGAAACACATTGGGATCCTCAGGAAGAAAGGCATCAATGGGAGAGAGCTCAACTCAAAGACACCCAGAAGGGAGAGAACCATGGGAGGGCCAAGCAAGTTCCCTCTGCACACAGGGGTGAGCAGGTGCTCCGGAAGGACCTGCCCACGTCTGCCTGCTGCCCCTCCCGGGGAGGCAGGCCCAGCCTGGGCTCAACCCTCCACCAGCAGCCGCTGCACATCGTGGAGCCTTTGCTGCCTGTGGTGTCTCTACCCCAGCTCCTGTTATAAGGGCTCAGCATTAATTAATAAAAGAAAGAATCACGAAGAGACAGCTGGCAGGGTGAGCAGGAGAGTGGAAGAGACACTGGAGACCTGAGGGCCTCAGACTGGAGGGGGGATGCTCTGGGGGAGAGCGTCACTCAACCTCAGCTCTCCCAGCAGGGCTGCCTCCTGACTGCTGTCTGCAGCTTCCCTTGACCACTGTGTCTCCATCCAGTTCCCTCCTGGGGGTGGCGGCTGTGCCTCCTCTCATCCCCCCATCATAAACATCGATCACTTGCTACCCCACCTAGGAGCTCCTCAGGACCACAGACGCCCCATGATTCTTGGCCCCTCGCTGACACCAAAGAGGAGACTAGAGTACAGGTGAGAGGCTTATTGGCTGTAGAGGGCCAGGTGGCCGACGCCCTCAGGGAAGACAAGGTGGAAGTGGGAGGGTCTGGGCTCTATCTTGCTTAGTTGGGAAGGTGCTGCCATCCAAGGTGACTTTTCTGAGGTCCCAGTTAGATTTGCATGTAGTAGGGGTGGGGTGTGAGGGCGAGCCCCTCCCTCAGACCCCACCTCTTCGAGGAGCTCCATCTCTAGTATACACACAGATCTGGAAACTTCATCTCGTAGACAGGGATGGAGTGGTTCTGAGGCTGGCCGTAGGCTGCGGTGATGGTTCCCGATGGGCTTGGTGGGGGCCTGGGGCAGAAACACACAGAGGAGACAGGGATGAGGAGGGGGTTCCACCCCATGCAACCAAATAGAACAGCTGATCTGTGTTTTCTCTGAACAGGGACCAGAGCCTGTGTCACGCCATGGGTTCCCAGGTTTCAAGTTCTAGAATCCACAGCACCATGGCAGGCTCAACAGTGACATTATTGCTTTAGAAAGTAAAGTCTCAGCCTGGGAAACAAGGACCCCTGGTTCTTTTGCAGGGTTCACTGAGCTGTCTCTTTCCCTTTATAGTCTCAGATTCTTTTTCTGGGTAGTTGGTGGCTGACTCCAGCCCTGGAGACAGAGGCTGGGGAGGGGGAGGACAGACAGTAAGAGGAAGACTCGAGAGGAAGGGCCAATGCTGGCCACAGAGGTTGGGGTCCCTGGGCCGGGGCTGCCACTTACCGAATGGTGATTTCGAAGATCTGATTGAGTTTGCTCTGCAGCAGTGACGCCTGGACACAAACAGACAGAGAGTGAGCTGGAGCTCCTGCAGCTCTGCCAGCTGTCACAAGCCCACCTGGCCAGCGCGAACACTGGAGGGTGGGGCGGTGCAGCCTCGGGGAGGGAATGGTGGGTTCAGGCCAGGCAGAGCTGCCCAGCAACGGCCTGCTGCAGACAGCACAGAGACCAGGAACACCAGGAGGACTTCAGTAGGCAGAACTTGAAGGACCCTCAGCTCCTCCAAGTAGGACAGGGGGGCCTGCTGGGCATGGAGTCAGGAGGCTCATAGCTGGTAACAGCTTTTTCCTTAACTCCAAAGAAACAGCTGTGCAAAATTGTTGGGTTAGGGAAGATGCTCTCTCTAGCCCCTTCTGGCTCCCGCAAAGTCTATGTACACAGGAGCGAGCTGTGCACGTGTTCAGTAACCGGGGCTCGACTCCGAGCTCATGAAATGAGCAGCATCTACCTCTTGAGATGGGACAAGAGGTTAGGATAATATAGGCCTCCAAAATCTATGTTACACTTACATGTATTTATCTATTATTATATATCATTATTATAATATATTAGAAATGGCCCTGGCCAGTTTGCTCAGTGGTTAGAGAGTCAGCCCCCAGATGGAAGGATCACAGGTTTGATTCCTGATCAAGGGCATGAACCTGGGCTGTGGTTTGTCTGCGGCCCCAGTCAAGGTCATGTGGGAGGTAACCAATTGATGTGTCTCTCTCACATCTATGTTTCTCTCTCCCTCCCTCTCTCCCACTCTAAAAATCAATGGACAAAATATCTTTGGGTGAGGATCGACAACAACAACAACACCACACATATACATATATGTATATTAGAAATATATGTTATATAGTAAAAAAGACTATTTATTACATGTGTTTTTATTGAAAAAACAAAGTACAATAAAATATGAGTTATTTATATTTTGGATGTTTACAATTATATTTCATTGTTACCAAGATGAACACTGTGACTAAGAAATCCTGCCATATAAAATCAATTTCAAGAAGTGTTTGTGCCCTTCCCTTAAGCATGACATGAGTCCTTCTTCCCAGTGGTCTGGGGCCTCTCTCAGATCTCTTTCCCGAGGCCCACTGTTCCCTGTCCCTGCCTGGAAGTGGGTCCGGTTGCAAATACTAGCCATCTTGCCTTCCCATGGCTCCTTCCCCCATGTCCCTGTAATGTGACAATAATAATGGCACCAACCTCGCAGATTAGTCACGAGGAGGAAACAAGCTAATAAATGTAAGATGTTCTAGTGCACAGTTAGGGCTATTTACACACTTGCTGTTACGACAGTAATGATTATAATCTGTTTGCTGCAGGAGCTCCTGAGGTCGGGGCTGCTTCCTTACACGAAAGGTGTGAGGTCTGGAGGCCTGTATGACCAATAGCCAAGTCTTTTGGTTCATGGGGAATTAATGTAGGGCCAGGGCATCATTGGCATCTAAACCCTAATTTCTGGGTGACAAAAGTGCCAAGATCCTCTGGCAACTCAGCTCTGTGCCGGACCCAAATCCAGTGTCCGTTTGGTCCCTGAGGGCCGGCCCGTGATGCCTCACTTACCCGGGCCCCGCAGTGTGCCGCAATCTCCTCGAAGGGTGCCTTCTGGAACTTCTCCACCACCTGTCGCCGCCGTTCACGTTCCTGCTCCTCCACGGCCACACTGTCCACTGCAGCACAGAGTGGGCCCAGCCCTCAGGTCCCGCCCCACTGAGGCGGGGCAGGGGCTGGCAAAGGTGGAGAGCGGGGTGGACTCCTCCAGGGAGCTCTGCCTGTGACCACAGCTTGGGCTCCCCCTCTGCTGATGGGCAGGGTGTGGTGGCAATGGAGGGTGTGATGCCATCACTGGGCCCCAGGAGGGCTAGACCTCTTCCTGATTCTGCCTGAGGGTTCAGCCTCCTTCCTTGGGTAAGGGTTTGAGAACCAGTCGAGTGGACTCTTGAGCTGGGCTTTTAAAGCCCCACAGAGCTGCACTGCCACTCCGGTCTCTTAACCAGAACTTCCTAGAACAGGAAGTACTCTGAGGGTGGGGGACTTGAAAAGGGACATCAACAATGGAAAAGCCAGACAGACCACAAAAGCCAACGAAGAACCCCTATGGCAGAGCGGTGTGAGGCCCTTCAGACTTTTACATATTCCTCTTGGTGATCAAAATGAGTTAGAAAAAAAGTGGGGAGGGGGTCTCAAATATGTCCATCATCCTCTGTTTAAGAAGGCAGACAGCCTGGCTGGTGTGGTTCAGTGAACTGAGCATCGTCCCATGGACTGAGAGGTCCTAGTTTGATTCCTGATCAGGGCACACGCCTGGGTTTTGGGCTCAATCCCCAGCATGGGGCATGCAGGAGGCAGTCAAACAATGTATCTCTCTCGCGTCAATGTTTCTATCTCTCTCCTCCTTCCTCTCTCTCTAAAAAATCAATAAAAATATATTTAAAAAATAGAAGAAGAAGAAGAAGGCAGACAGTGTGTACGTTCAGAAAGAGTACCATCAATGACAACAAAAATAAAAAAGATTTGGCATTTGAAGATATAATTTGTCATCAGCATTCAGGAAAATTCTCTCATTCGGAATACTTCATTGACCAATAATTCAGACAGAAGACTGCATTTTAAAATCTACTGCCATTATTAAATAAATATTAATATGAAGGCAGCTATCAGTAGAAAAAGAGCTGCCGGACCTAAGATACACGGGGCAACACTACTGATCCCCGGCAGGAGGCAGGACTTCTCATTGCAGTGTTGGTAGTTGGCCTGAGTTCAAAGGAAGCCACCAGCATCTGCCCTCACATCTGTGCTGAATCACCCTCCTGAGGGCAGCAGGTGGGGTCGCGCACACCCACTAGAAAGCAGGACCCAGTCCTGCCCTCCCACCAGCCAGAGTGCCTGGGGGCCTCCCACTTACCAATGGCCTTCTTTAGTGTCTCATAGGTGATCTCTTCTGCAGGCACTCGCTAAGGGAGAGGGGACAAATGTTCAGAAAGGTGGAGTAGGGGGTGGGGGAGGCAGCCTTGGCTTCCTCAGTTATCTGGCAGCCCCCTCACTTCTCAGAAGAATGACCCAATGGGCAGAAACTCCCTCAGGATACCCACCTACTAACCAGGGTCTCCGGAAGCTCCCCAAGAGTAGTGAGATGGGGGTGGGAGGCTAATTCCTCATCAAAGTCTCACCTAAAAAAACTCACGGTCCCCTCCCTGCTGCTTATCTTATTAAGCCCAGTGGAAGAAAAACACTGTGTAATTCAAAAAAATCTTTAGAGACCCAACAGAAAATATTGGAAGCAAGATGGGTAGCCATCTGCAAATATAATATCAAATATAGATTTCAAGAACTGAATAACATTTTTGAGGACTTATGATATTAAATTATCCACTGAGCTGATTTGAGTGTTAAGTAGAGGTAAGACTTGCTGAGGTTGGACCAAGGACCCAGGTCACAGGATCTCAGTCCTCTGGAGAGCCTACAAAAGGAGTGAGGAAATAATAAAACCCAAAGAAGGGTGCTCTGTGGATGCATGGCATTAAATCAGATGCTGAAAATAGTGCAGGAGTTTGGACTAAATTCCAGGAATTTCCCACTAGATCATGAGCTCCTTGAGGCAAGACCCATGATTTACTCATATCCTACCACTTAAATATAATGTTAAGTGAAAGAAACAGACACAGGAGTGAATGACATCATTAATGAAAAGTTCAAGAAGTGATATAAGTCAGGCTAGTGCCTCCCTTGGCCGGGGGTTGGGGTACAGAGACGGGGCTCTTGGGCAATGACACTGTTTCCTCTATTTCCTGATCTGGGTGTGACTGCACCAGTACATTCCTTTTGTGAAAATTCATTGAGCTGTACACTCTGATGTATTTGCCATCCAATAAATGCTTGTTTTCGTAGAAAAGGACAGAGATGTAAGTATGGGATAAAGTCATTCAACAAATATTGAGTGAGCCCGACTATGTCAGGATTCTTGGCTAGTCACTCAGTAGAAATGGCAAAATGTGTTAGCATAGAAATTACATGCATGAGAGAGCTGTGCTGGGCTATCGTTCACTCTGAGGAGTCCACCTCTGTGCATGCATGCATTCATCCATCCATCCATCCATCCATCCATCCATCCATCCATCCACCCACCCACCCATCCATCCATCCATCCATCCACCCACCCACCCAACCATTCATCCATCCACCCATCCATCCATCCAACCATTCATCCACCTATCTATCCTCCCATATACCCCTCCATCTTCTGTCAGCACTGACCAACATCAGATATTCACATAAGAGGTGTTAGGGAGCTGTGTGGTGGTGACAGAGGAAAGGAAGATCACTGGGCAAGAGCAGGTAGAGAGAGGATTATGATGAAATGGAACACAAGCTGGGCATTGAAGAACAAGAGATTCAGGGGAGCACAGATGGAGAAGAAGGGGGATTCCATACTAGCAAAGATGCCGAGATGAGAGAGATGGCTGAGAGCCGACCAGCCAGGTGAGATAGTAGGTGTATGCCAGAGAGGAGGGAAAATAAAATGAAACAGTGGGCCAGCTCAGACTATAAATGGTACTAAAGGCCAGGTATTGGGTTTGGAATCTGACCGAACCAGCATTTACTGATCACCTTTGTGAGTCTGTCATTTAAAGCTGTAGGAAGCCACCACAGGATTCTGGAGGGGGTGGTGTGGGGCATGGTGGGCTGACAGTGGAAAGAAGTAGAGCATTGCAGAAGGGTGGAGGCCCTCTCACCCCTGCTTTAGCTACCAAGCCACTCCTGGGCGAAGCTGACTCTGGAAGAGGGAAGGAACCCATATTGGTGACCCAGGTCACTAGGGAGTTAGACAGCTGTGTACCCAGGTAAACATTCCTTCTCCTCCTTCTGTTTCACTCTACTCATCAATTCCTGAGTGTCTCGGGAAGAGATAATCACAACTGTGGGGTGGGGGGTGGGAAAATAGCATCCAACTCATGCTGCAGGCCTAACACCTTTGAGGTTCCCAGGCTTGAAGAGCTGGAAGGGCCTACTTCAACCTCCTTTCCCTTCTCCAATTAGCCTGAGTCAGAGCTTCCTTCCTTCCATGGCAGGTTCCTGATAAGCTCTGAAAAGCCCTGGACTGGAGGTCAGCCCCAGAAAGTGAAGAGTTGTGAAGTGGTTGAGGGCACAGTTACAAGGAGGCTTGATCCAGACACCAATGACGTCTCCAACCTCCAATCACGGCTGGGGAAAGGCTAGGTGTCTAGACTGTCTTCCATGGCCACACAAGCCCTACTGGGCAGAAACCGTCTCTGCTCCCAAACTCCACAGGTCTTCTTGTCCAAGTCCTCACTCATTGTTGAGCTTATCCCCACATCCCTGTCAAGTCCCTTAATGGGAAGGGTCACCATTAAAAACAAGGGCACTGTGTCTTGTGTCTTCATCTCCCTCAGGACTCCTTTCCCCTTCTTGTCCCTCCCCCACTTCTTTCTTACTTGAGAAGCAAATTTGGTTTTTCTACTATGACTCCTTATTCTCCCTTACTTGTGGGTACATCTGATTTGTTTTCTGAAGCAGAAGAAGTTATGGCAGGGGACCTATCACACAGTAGTTTGTACAGAGATTAGACATTCACAGCCCTCAAGAAGAGATGGAGGAGAGGTCTCTCAGCTGCAGCCCTCTCTTTAAAAGAGCACCTTCATTGGTATACCTGAAAGAATCACCATGGAAGCTGCTCTCACCCTCACCCTCCTAGAAGGCCTTCTACTTTCCAACATGGAGCACGTTTATCTCCACCATGAATGGCGGATAAAAACCAGCATGTCTTTCAAGAGCGATTGTTATGACATCCTCATGGGAGTGCAGTAGGGAGGAAGATGGATACAAATCATTTTTCCCGGATGGAAATGTCCATGTCATATAAGATGACAGTTAGAAACTGGGTTTCCCTGAGAAACTTACTTTCGGTGCAGCTTTCAATGTGTTGTGCAGTAAGGGGGCCTGGAGTATGGAGTGTTTGACTGCATAGGACACAGGAGCAGGTCCTCTCCCCTGGGGATGCTGGGCTTCACCAGGACAGTGTATTGAGAAGGTGACACTCACCTCCTCCTTCTCAGGGCTGTTCCTTGATTCCACCTCCACCTGCAAGGAGATGGTTTCTCCAATGCTCTTCCTCTTGGACAAACGATCTTCATCTGTGAAAGGAGAAGCCAGAAGCTAGAGTTCCAGCCCTCAGGGAGCGAGCCGGGACCATGCCCCCTGTACCATCTCCCAAGCCTTGCACCTTTGCCTGGTCCACGGTCCTCTGAGGGCTCAGGGCATGTGGAGGCTATTGCTGGGCTTTATGGAAGGCTGCGGGCCATCTCTGCCCATCTTAGGGTGGTGAGTTCTGCTCTTTAGGGCTAAGATTTTTAAATCCTTGATGAGCACAAGGAAGCTGCTTATGACTAGAAAGCACATCTCAACATGTGCACATCTGCTCATAGCACTAGTGGCTGTCATTTGTGTAGCATTTCTGTGTGCATTTGCCTTCGTTATTTCATGTACCAATCACACCAGCCTCCAAGGCAAGTACTGTTAATATCCCTATTTCACAGTCCAGGAAACTGAGACTCAGAGATGCCAAGAGCTTGTCTAAGATTTTCCAGGGAGTCAGTTACAGAGAACTGGGTCTCGGTAGCCCAGGTGTGGCACAGTAGGGCTTCTCCCACCCACAAGCCAGGCTATCTTGTGGGCCAGTTCCACCTGAGGACCCTGCACTGTGGAGGAGAGCTGGGGAAATCCAGAGGATCTCACCATAGATTTCCACCGTGTCTTTCAGCTCTCGTGTGACAGCCGAGGTGCCATGGGAGGTGACTGAAGTCCCTTACACTCAGGCCCTTGCCTGGCCAGGACAAGCCAGAGGTAGGCCGGGAAGTCCTTGAGCTGAGTGCATACCTGTCAGCTGAGGGATGTAGGGCAGGCAGAGCCTGTCTGAATTGTAGCCACTGCCCCCCAGGACTTCACTGATCTTGCTCTGGCGGAAGAGGAACTCAGTCGCCACTCCATCAAGATTCTGAGACAGCCTGGCAGACACAGGAGGGAAGGGGGGTGGGGGGAGTGAGGACCATGGGCAACTAGGATGAATTCCTAGTGATTTTCCTTATTATAAAGGTGATGTTCATTACACCAAATGACAGAGACGCAAGTAGAAAAAATCACCCAGGGTTCCACTTTCCAGAGATAACCTTCAGTGTGCAGAATCCTTCAGTCACATACACTTACGTGGGTGCACACACACACACACACACATACACGTGTGTGCGCACACACATCACCCCGCTCCCACATTTCTTTTCTATGATCTATTTCATGTACTTATTCTATATGAGTACTTCACATGAACTATTCTTCTAAACCATTGTGAATTGGCTGCCAGTTGTTGGCTGTGTGGATGGGCCACATCAATAAAGCCATCCACTGTTGCTGGACATTTTATTTTTTCAGAATATCTTTTCCTTGCATTCCTCTGATGCTGAAGTGACACTGGCCCACAGACAACGGTCTGACAATGCCATTTGGATGGATGGCAGTGACTTTTCTGGAACAACTGCTCCAGGATTTCTTCCCCATGAGCTTGGCCACAGCTCCCAGAGGTGGCATCACATACCCTCTATGGTACAACACATCAGGATGGCTCAAGGTATGTATTACAGTCACATGATGAGGGTCACACTTGACCCAGGACCTGTGGGGGTCACAGGCAGGTTCCACTTTCAGCCCTAGGGTCCATAGAAGCCTAACCCCTGCCTCGGACCGCCCACCTTCTTACTCACTGCCTTGGGCATCCTGGGCCATGTCCCAGGTGCGCTCCTCACCTGGGCCTCTCCACAAACACGTCCTCGGGGAGCATGTATGGAGCTTCTTTCTTCCTGGTCTCTATCACCTGGAGTGTGGGAGGAATCACAAGGTAAGAGCCGGGTTCAGCAGGGAGAGGGAGCTCCGAACAAGTGAATGAGAGAGCTCCCACAAATCCGCGGCAGAGCACCCTCCAGCTGGGCTTCAGAGGGAGAAACTCAGCTCATAGTGACCATCTGAGCAACCTGAGAAGCCCAGGTGGTCTGCTCAAGCTCTCCCCACAGACACATATGCACTGAGTGTTCTCTGAATGCAGGGGACTTAGCTCCTTTCTTGCTTCCATGACCGATTTCTGTTTTCTCTCTAGACATGGAAAATGGAGCATAGGTCACGCCATTCCCTAAGCCACGGTGCATGGCCAACACATCCTGAGCTTCTCTCAGTATCCTCTGCAAATTTTTGACAAGAAAGGTGAAAGTTTTTAAGATGGTGAGAAGTGGGAGGATTGTTGCCAGGCAAGCATGTGGAGGAGGCAAGTAAGCAATGATGTGACTATTTTTAATGAAGAGGATGACTAAGCACAGGGCTTGTGCAATTAAGAAAAAGCTCTGGGGAAACCCCAAGTTGAAGGCCTCCTGAGTTCTCAGGAGGTCACCTCAGGGTCATGAGGACACCAACCTCGTGGATGTGCTGACAGAAGGCAGGCACTGTCGTGAGCTGGCTGATGAGATTCAGGTAGGCTGCGCCCAGGGCGTAGAGGGCACAGCGGTTGTACACAGGCAAGTTCTCTTCGTTGGCCTGAGCCAAGTCCTGTGGCAACACAGAGGGGCCTTTGCAGTTTTTAACTGACAAACTATACTGGTTCCCCCTTCCACCGAACCTCCTCCAACTGTAAGGAGATGGCCCACTGCTCCAGATTAAGCCTTTTCAGCATTTGCCTCATTCTTTCCCGGAAGTCAGAAGCCACCCTTATTAAAGCTGCAGTGGATGGTCCCTAGAACAATCCACGAGAGGCGATGACCTCAGTCCCTCACTTAGCCTTAGTGACTTTGACTGTCCAAACCCTCAACAAGCCCACCTCTAGGATGCTGTTTCCTTCACTATTAACCTTGCATGATTCTTGGAAGACTGGATTGGCTTGTTAAGTTGGGTTTGCATGTTAAATCGAGAAAGTTGTGGGAGTTACTAGGGGGTTGGGATACAAGGAATCTCAAATTCTAGAATGATGACAATCATGGCATCCGGTTAGCCTTGCAGCAATTAGCATTGCCAAGCAGGTGGCCTACGACTTGCCACAGCTAAATGTCCAGGCTTGCCACAATTCAGGGTACAGTGCCTGCCCAGCTTTGGGCCCGGGAGACCCTTATCTTTGAGGTCTGAAGGACACTCCACAATGCCTAGAGTATGCTTCCACCGAGGTAGACCTCGGAAGTTGAAAGCCCCATCTGTGCATTGCCACACTGCCTGCCTGAGTCACAAGCGAAGCCTACTGAGTCTACGGCCCCAGGCTCAGGGACAGGACTGGGAACATGTTTTTGTTTTGTTTTTTTAAATCCTCACCCGAGGATATTTTTTAAAATTTATTTTCAGACAGAGTGGGAGGGAGAGATAGAGAGAAACATCAATGTGAGAGAGACACATCGATTAGATGCCTCCTGCATGACCTGACCAGGACCAGGGACGAACTGCAACGGAAGCACATGCCCTTGACCAGAATCGAAACCGAGATTCTTTGGTCCACAGGCTGATGCTCTAATCACTGAGCCAAACAGGCCAGGGCGGGAACATGTATTTTTAATAAGTGCTTGAGGTGATCAGAAGCACAGCCAGGTTTTTTTTTTTTTAACCCTCACCTGAGGACATTTTTCCTTTTTTGTTGTTGTTGTTCAGATAGAGTGGGAGGGAGAGAGACATCGATGTGAAAGGGACACATCGAGTGGTTGCCACCCACACGACCCAACCAGGGCCAGGGACAAACTGCAACCGAGGTACGTGCCCTTAGCAGGAACTGAACCCGGGTCTCTCTGGACCGCAGGCCGATGCTCTAACTGCTGAGCCAAACTGGCCAGGGCACAGCCAATTTTTTAATCAATCCTCACCCAAGGATATTTTTCTATTTATCTTCTGACAGAGTGGGAGGGAGAGAAAGGGAGAGATAGAGAGAGGGAAACATTGACTTGAGAGGGCCACATTGACTGGTTGCCTCCCACAAGACTCTGACCAGGGCCGGGGACGAACCCCAACCGAGGTACGTGCTCTTGGCTGGAATTGAACCTGCGACTCATTGTTCCGCAGGCTGATGCTCTACCGCTGAGCCAAACCAGCCAGGGCAGCACAGCCAGGTTTGAGAACCAGATGATTTGCTTTGGAATCACTCAGGGCTTATAAGCATCCTCTTGGCGGTCATTGGAGTCTCCTTCAGACCCTTCAGGAGGCTTGAAATACTGAGGGCTGAGGGGTATTTTTGAATGGCCCTGTTCCCTGGGTCTCCTTTAGCCTGAGAATGGGCCAAAGCCATGAAGTAAGCATTTTACAGTGGTTCACCTCCAGGCCATTTTTGGTGGCCTTCATGGAGTGTTCCGGGACTCCCAAACAACTGTTAAATAATTGCCTCTAATGAGTGGTTGGTCACAACAGGTCCTCTCCCCGATCCCAACCCCCCTGTCCTGCCCACATCAGGCCCACCTGAACAGCCAGCACCAGGCGGATGAGGTCCACCACTACCTCCTCGTTGGCTAGCTCGATGCTGATGAGTGCCAGCAAGCCGTAGAGCGCCTCGTAGTGCTTCTGTATGTTTGTCTCCTCCTTGCAGCTCAGGTAGATGTGTCTGTAGAGCTGCTGGGAGTGCTAGAGATGGGGATGAGGGTGCGGGTAAGGCCACAGTGGCAGGGTGGGGACAGGAGGGGCAAAGGGAATAGAAAAACCAGTCTGAAGAGGGCGGGAAAGCTGTGTGTACACCACTTCCACCCTCGAGGAGAGGATACCTCTAAAGCAGACCCCAGTGGGCATGAACACGTGCAGGAGTGCATATTTAGGGAAGGCAGGGTCCAGTCAAACCAGCAACAAAAGTTGTTGCCCCAATTGTTTTAGGAGCAGAACACAGTCACTGGCCCTGGTCCTCACTCTGGCCTCAGTGATGAGTATGACCCTAGGGGCTTGACCCCCAGAGGGGCCGGCTGCTCATCCTGCCTAAGCACAGTCAACAAGAGAGGAGCCTGGCTCCAGAGTAGTGGTCAGCAGTGACTTGGGGGCTGGAAGGTCAGGCTCCAGAGGGCCTGGCCCGCTCGGGATTCACTGTGTCTTGAGGTCACATTTGCTAACCTTCTTCATGAAGACGGTGTCCTGTCGGGAGCACTTGTCCACTTTTAGCTTCAGAACAGAGATGTCACTGAGGGTACTGGAAGGGGACACAAGGGGCCACCTTAGTCTTTGTGTGAGGCCAGTCAGAGCTCACTGGTGTCACTGGGCTTTATCCCAACATCATTCGTTGTAACAAAGTCTCCCGGTGCTCCTCCTGCCTTGGTCCCTAGCCCACTCTCTACTTTCTCTCAAGTTCTTTAGTTTCTGTTCCTTTTCCTTAAACACTGTTCTAGATTATTCTCTTCCTCCTCACCCAAAAACTCCCTTTGGTAGGTGTTCTTGATCTCCCAAATCATCCATTCCCCTCCTCCCCCAGTGCAAGTGCCCGTTCAGTTGCTCCTCCCCTCATAGGACCCCAGCGTCAATGTCTGCTCAGTTCTCTAATGGGTCTCACTGAATCTCTGAACTGTCCTCCCATCGCACATGTGGTCCTATCAGGAGTCTTCTCCCATCACACATCAACAGTGGAGGAGGCCCCTAGTTCACCTGATGGAAGAGAACTTGTGGCGGTTGCCATGACGATCAATGAAACTGATGAGAATCTCTAGAACAAAGAGACGGATCTCTGCATCATCCATGAGGGCGGTGGACAGAAGGCGGTCAAGGAAGTTGCTGGGCAGGGCTGACATCATGTTGTTGCACTGGAAACCTATGGACACCTGCAAGGGAGCCCAGGAAGGCCATGCTTAGGAACTCTGGTCTCTCATGTGTAGTGAGGAGATGGAGGAGCAGCCAGCAGAGGTTGGGTTTGAAGCATCCATCCTCTCTGGGCATCTCCCAGTCCAGTTGCCTGCATTCAGATGCCCTGGTCCAGACCCACCCTGGGCCCTGGATGCCTTAGGCAACTTTGTTGAACATGTCGATATCCACTTAGACAACCTTCTCAGCTCAGCTCAGTAGACATGTGGCTGGATGGGGATGGTGTGTGGGAACATAAGGGATTAAAAGCAAACAAGGGATGAGCACTGCAGGGAGCAGGAGTCAGGGAGCCTCTGAACTTATGTTCCAGGCCATCAGGGCACAACTGATGAAGATTCACTGTGAACACAACGCTCTATTAAGAGTGTGGACAGTCACAAAGAGATGGAGAGACAGTGGAAGAACTTACAGCTGGGCTGAGGAATGGCAACAATCAAGAGCACACATAGCATCTGCTCACACCCTTTCAGCGTGGTCACCAAGGGGTCGTCTGATACAAGCCAGCTGGCACAGACACATCATACGTCATGTCAAGGCAGTCAGAGCAGTGAAACAGATTTACTGTTAAGTCCCTGTTTTATAAAACAATGCCTCTGATGATTCAGCGGGCCCTGGAGGAGCAAGCAAACCCTGGCGCCGTCAGTGGTCAACATTAGTGTTCACCGAAGGGCGGTGTATCTGAGTGCGTCCAAAACTGTCACCTCAATAAGATGCTGCGGACAAATCAGTGAGGGTAAACTCAGCAAAGAAATGGCAGGAGTGCGTAGACAGAGGAGGTGACCAGATGAGCAGCATTAGCAGGAAAAGCCTTTATAAAAGCAGAGTGACGTCAAAGGCATGAACTGGGGGGAGGAGAGGAGGGAGCTAGTTGCACAGACCCCCATGGGGGAACAGAGACAGCCGAGCGATTCGATGGACAGTCTAGGGATGGAAAGCAGGTTGGAAACCTTTCAACTTCAGTCTGAGAAGACAGGCATACCCATTTATGGTCCTTCGCTTATTGTGCTTCACAGATACAGCATTGTTTTGCCAATTGAAGGTAAGACACTCCACTGGCACAAAGGTTACGACTTGCTGAAGGCTCCAAGGATGATTCGCATTTTTTAGAATTGAAGTATTTTTAAAAATAAGATATGTACATTGGTGTTTAGGCATAATGCTATTGTACACTTAATAGACTACAGTATACATAGTGGAAACATAACTTCATATGCACTGGGAAACCAAAAACTTCGTGTGACTTGCTTCACTGCGCCACGTGCTTCATCGCAGTGGTCTGGAACCAAGCCCACAGTATCGCCAAGGTTTGCCTGCCTTAAATCTGGAGGCATGTCAGCTGGAAACTGAGACCTACTCTTTAAGAAGGAGCAACATGTGGGGAACAGTATTTCTGATAGGCGAGGAGAGATGGAGATAAAAGCAAGTAGGAGAGTCTTGTCGGTGTGAGGCGCAGGGTCTAGGCCAGGGCAGTGCACAGGAGTAACCGGGGAGCTCGTTACAGACAGAGTCAGGACCCCACTCAGACGATGGCTCAGAATCTCTGGGGGATCTCTCTAGTCCAACAAGTTGGTCATGGGAACGACATTTGAGAACAATGAATCTAGACTCCAGTGAAGGCAGCAAAGGTGTAGAAAGAGGAATATGAAACACAGAGGAAGGGAAAGCTTGTGGCTGGGAGACGGGGTAAACACAGTGCCAAGGAGAAAACAGAGGAGGGAAGGATCTGGGTAGGTCATTGGAGGGGACGGGTAGGAACCAACAGATTCCACCTCTGTGCAGAGATGACGCTTGAGTGACAATGCTGTCAGTCGCTGATAAGGGACCTTTGTGGAAATTAGAAACCGGCACCCCGCTGCTCTGGATGACCCAGCCCTGTGTGTGCCCACTCGGCTGGGGTGCAGAGCATGGGCTGGATGTCAGTGCCCACCTCGCCCCTTCAGATGGCATGTCTGTGCAGCGTGCACAACCATGTGTTGGTGCCGTCCTTGGCCTGGAAGGAGCTTCCTCCTGCAGAGACAGCACAGGAGCGGGGACAGGAGAGGCTCACCTGAAGGAGGGATTTCAGCAGCATAATCTGGGTCAGCCGGTTCCTGTTCTCCCTGTAGACCAGAGACGTACATTCTCACAAGGGTGGTGATTTGGGCAGAGACCCCACATTGGCCTGCATCGTTCTCCCTCCTGATTAGATTCTTCACGAGGCTTATCTTGTTGGGCTACCCAAGGCAGTGACTTCCAGAGCCAGGCAGCAGACCAGGGAATTAAGGGCTCCCCCAAGGCGGGAGGTAGTAATGGGGGGGGGCAGCCTGAGTAATTGCTGTGGGATCCAAGGGCCCCTCTAAAGGCTGCGGAGGGGTTTGAGAGTAGAATAAGAGAAGGAAAGTGAGGACAGAACCAGGAAGGAGAGAGCAGGGAAACATGGGAAAGGGTAGCTGGGCGGGGCCGAGGCTGGAGAGAAGGAGGAGGGTGGAAGGCGCCATGCACCTACCCTGTCCTCCCCGTCTCCATGGGGTGATGCAGAGAAGGCAGTGGGACCTTGCTCATGATGAAGAGGATCACCTCGGAGCGCTGATAAGTGGGCAGCGTGCTGGCAAAGGAGCCTGAGGGAGAGATGGTGGGGAGGGTTGACCCAGGTGAGGCCAAGGCTACCGGGATCTCTTAGCTTGGCTTTTCAGCTGCCTCTCTGGGGCGACAACTAAGATCCCGAGGAGAAACCTAGATGACTTGCCCAGCCTCTAGTTCCTCTGCTTGTTATTCCCAAGCCCGAGGATAAGGTCTCTGGGAGGGAGAACCTGGACCCTGGGACCAGGGCAGCAGCACTGGGTGCCCACCTAGGCTCTGTCACCAGCTGCTCCACGGGTGTCCTGGGTAAGTCCCACCTCCGTGCATCTTAGTGGCCTCCTCTGTGAACAGGGACCATTCCTGCCCTGCCACTTCTCAGAGCTGAGGGGAAGTGCCATTGGCACCTGGACAGGAAGGCTCTGAAAGTGATGAGCCTTACAGGTGAGGTGGGCACACACGTGTTCTCCATGGCTTTCTCCCTTTCCTTCCGTTTCTTCTCCTCACTCCCCACCTCCCCTCCAATCCCTCAGGCTTGGAAGCATCAGGCAGGCCCAGCGGGAACTGGGGCACAGGAAGAGCTTGCCTCTCAGCCTGTGATCTGAAGTCCCAGCTGAGAACCACGAAGACTGTTCTGGGCTCTCACTCAGGCCTGACCGGAGGGCAGTCCGTGAGCTGCGGGCACCACGGACTGGCTCCATTCCCCCCATGGACAGAGGACAGTCCTTGAACGGCCTGGACCGAAGTCCTTGTGGAGACCCTCCCTGGCCACGCCCCACCCTGGGCCCAGCACCTATGGTCTTGATGACAGCCTCCTGGAACATGCGCTCTTCGTGCTCCTTGATGATCTTGGTGCCCAGGCTGATGGCCCCGTCATAGCTCCCGGTCAGGGCGTAGTCGATGCTGAGCCGCAGCTGCCTCAGCAGAGTGTTGAACATCTCCAGCACCGTGGGCCCTGAGCCGGCAGGGTGGGACAGCCAGAGCTCAGGGCTGACTCCCTCTTCATCCTTCCCTGCCCTGCAGTCCAGCCAGGGGCTTCCTCCGCCCCCACGTGCCCAGGCTGACACCTCCTGAAGGTGCCTTGCCCTTTTCTGGAAGTGGAGGCAGCCTCCCGCCAAGGGCAGGTCTTTGTCCTTGAGGGGCTCCCAGCCCCACTCCTTTCAGGGCCTCCTTACCCACAGAGCCAGTGGCGGCGATGACAGCAGCCTCCGACAGGACCTCCACGATGCCCGCCCGCACCGTAGCCGCACTGCGGCTGTTGGCATCCAGGTGGCTCAGGAGCTGCTGGATAACCAGGTGGGAGTGCTGCGGCTGCGGGAGAAAGACGTGCTGGTCCCCACTGCAGCCCCACGGCCTCTGAGCAGGGACCCAGGGCCGGGCGGGACACAGCGAGATGCCCTGGTTCCTTCCCCGAGCCCCTCTCCCGTGGTCCCACAAGGAACACAGCCAAATCCCAGTGAAGTCCCAGATTTCCACTTTTCCTGGGCCCCTTCACACCAAGTGGGTCAAAAGTCAACTTAAAAGTATTGTCTTCCTTTTCATTTCCCCCACATCTTTCTGGTAAGGGCCATGACAGGCCACGTAGTTTAGTCCAGTGCTGCTCATAGTGTGGCCCGTGGTCTGGTGATAATTCAAGATCTGCCTGATGCCCATTTACACTGACGTAAGTACAGAAAGTGAGGTAAGTGTTCAGTAAGCAGTTTGATGTTGCCGGGCAGCCAGGCATGGTCTGCGGGCTTATACTCTGAAGGAGGTGTTCATTTACGCTTCCTATGAATTCTTTTAAATTGTACTTTGTAAAGTACCAGTTTGTGATGGATTAGAAATGAACCTGAACTGGTCACCCTCCAGAGCGCGGTCAGGCAGAACCCGTTTGGACCGCTGGCTTTGTAAGCACACTGTCCCACCCCCGGAGGTGCCCTTGGCCAGGGCGATGAGCTGGACCAGGGAAGCCACCGTACCTGAATCGAATACATGATGATTTTAAAGCAGCGAATGGCGAACACCTTGGGCTCCCACAGAGAATGGTTATCCAGATGGCTGCGAGGAGAAAATGTTGGGAACGGCTATGAAATGAAAAGGGACGTTAGGGAGGAGAGAGCGTTCTGTAGAGGGACACCTCCGAGACCCAGCTCGCATAGCTCCAGGTAAGTGAGAGAAGGGAGCGTGAGGGACCCCAGGGCAGTCCCAGCCCCAGAGCTAAAAAAAGGTCACGGAACAGGGCCCTGTAGCTGTGGGTTTAGGAGTAAACCGGGTACCTTCCTTCAGCTTCAGGGGCCCTCCTACAGCTCCTCTCCCCAAAACTGCACTTGGCCACTGTGTGGTAGCTTTTGTTGTCCCAATGCAGGGAACACGAGCCCAGAGAAGGGATCGACTTGGCCACAGCACCACAGCCGTAACACCCCCTCCCCTTCTCCCCGAGCTAGCAAGTAGATGCCAGGACCTGAAACGGTTCGCTTGGGGGTGGGGGTGGGGAGGACTCACATGAGAACAGGCTTGATGGCATTTTTGATGTTACCAAAGGCAGCCCGGCCCAACAGTTCCCGAAGGCACCTCTCAGCCAGCTCTGCCGGGTTCTCCTTTTCCTTCTCCGGCGCTTGAAGGGGCGAGGGGGACCGGCTGCGGGAACACACAACCTCGTGGGTGAAGGATGGAGGCAAAGCTGCCAGCGGGCTTTGCGCGTGCCTGGGTTTCTGCTGCATCCACGCAAATGGTGACAGTAGGACATGCAGGAAGTTTATGTAGGTCATGGGGGAGATGTCGCAGCTGTCAGGAACTAAATGGGGTACAGAAGCCCAGAGTGGAAGAAGATTGTGGGAGAAGGGATGAAATTTCTCTGGAAATCCTTAAGGATAGGCCTGATGAGCCTCTGCCAGAGGAGGGATACCCTGAGCACCACGGCTGGTGAGGCACAGACAAGTGTCTCCATGTGCCTAGGGCTTCAGAAGGAAAGAGATGTGATGTGAAGAGAGGTGGGCAGAAAGCAGAAAGCAGAAAGCAAAAGAACGTGGGAGAGAGGAGAAGGGAGAGGAAGAGGGAGGGGAGAAAGGCACAGTGGTTGGCTCAAGTGCCTGAGTCACAGAGGGTGGGCCCAGACCTGGGCAGAAGGATCTCCAGGACACCCCGCCCTGAAAACACAGGCCAATCTTGTCAGTGAGGTGCGATTCCAGAAACGGCCATCAGAGGGCACACTTTCTTTCCCTGCTTGACTAGCAGCACAGGCTCAAGAGACAGCAAGTGAGGGACCCAACACCTTCAGCCAGCGTCATGCACAGCCAAGGTAGACAGGGCCACGAACATGTCCCTCCATCCCATTTCACAGAGGAGAAGAGAAAGGGGCAGGACAGGATGAATTCCACGTCTGGGGGATTCCAAATTAAAACCCAATATCTGCAAGTTGTGTCTGCTGGCTGGTCAAGCAGGCATATATATATATTTTTTAATTTTTAATTCTCACCTGAGGACACTCTTCATTCAGATAGAGTGGGAGGGAGGGAGAGAGGGAGGGGGAGAGAGAGAGAGAGAAACATCCACATGAAAGGAACACACCGAGTGGCTGCCCTCTGCACAACCCCAACCAGGGCCGGGGACGAATCGCAACCGAGGTATGTGCCTTTGACCAGAATCAAACCTGAGACTCTTTGGTCCGCGAGCTAATGCTCTAACTGCTGAGCCAAGCCAGCCAGGGCCAAGCAGACATGTTTTAAGGGCCTGAAATACCATTAGGAAGTGAGGGAGGAAGGAAGGTCAGGGAGAGAAAGCCCTCAGTAATTGAAGCCATGCAAAGTCTTTTAAACCCTCCTTGGCCTGCTGCTTCCAGAGAGACAGAGATAACCTGGTTCTCTGTTCTTCCAGCACACACTTACCTCCGGGGAGCCTAGCACCGTACTGTCCTTCCTTCCTGAACGCAGACCCTGAGGGGCTCACGGAAGAACAAGCCTCAGAAGCCACGATCCCCGGCCTTATAGCTAGGTTTTAGCAAAAGACCCACACCCTGTGGTTCCCCAGAGCCAAGGACGGCAGCCTGGGAGGGCTGCATGTGTCTGCCTTCTGAGCTCTGTCCTCGCCTGCTTACCTCTCTGCCTCCTCGACGTGCTGCAGGTTGAAAAGCAGTGATGGGACGATCTTGTCCATGTGCTGTGGGTCCCAGATATTGGCCTGCAGCTCATCATTCACCGTCTTCCTCACCACCCCTTGCAGCCCCTTGATGCCTGACATTCGGATTCTGTAGGAAAAGGATGATAGGGCCATGAAGCCCTCAGACCCTGAGAAGTCTAGCTTCTGTGGCAAGTGCGGGGCTTAGGGATACATCAAAAGGCAGAATGGAGCCCACCTACACTACCAGTGACCTGGGCTCCTGGCTGGCTGGCTTTTTGTACTGGTGGACACCTGCTTTCTGGCTGCCTTTGCCCTGGTACCACCCAGGCTTCATCTCTAAGGTGCCAGCTGCTTCAGGCTGCCTCTCTTTAGTTCTCAGCTGGGTTTGTTCCAGCTTGAGCCCAAGATACAGGAGGAGCTCACGGTGCAGCCAAGAGCAGATGAGGCCGTATCCAGGGCTATGAGCACTTACGAGTGAGGAGGGGGTCTGGAGGGAGAGGCACAGGGCTGCCAAGCTCTCTTGACACAAAAGGGTTTAGATTGGGGCTAAACTGGCTGAGAAAGCACAGGGGAAATTGAGTCACAGCACAGAGGAGGGCTCTTTCACACAGCCTAGTCTCTACTGCACTGATGGGGGGGGGGCTCTTTACTGGCCATTTATTTCAGCTTGAAGTTTCTCTTTTCTTTTTTTCTATCAAGCCTTTTTCTTAATTACAAAATAATACATGCAAATTGTAGAAAAGCATAAAGAAGATTTACCCTGCCGTAACCACTCCTGGATAACCATCACTGGCATTTTGGTCTTTCTTTTCTTCTGCACGTAATGTGTAACGGAATTAAGAACTTCTATTACATATGTGATGTGTGTTTTCCACCATAACATTCTATCATAAGTACTTTTCTGTATCATTAACTCTTCATAACATTCATGCTGTACTGTCATAAGAACTTTCTAAACAGGTCTCCTACTGGTTATTTAAGTTGTTTCCAATTTTTTGCTACTATTATAATGCTACAATGGACATTAACGTATAAAAGAATTTACTCCATTTCAAATCATTGATGCCAGTGAAATGACTGAATCAAAGCTAAGAAATAAAAGGCCCCCAATGTGGCCAAGTGACTCTCCGCACGTTACGTGAGCTGCGGGGGGCGGGGGGAGTGCCGCCCCCATTCTCAACATCTGTTCTAATTTCATGGCTCAGAAATGCCTCACATCTTGTAGCTACTTCAGTTTGGATCCTTTTGATGATTACTGGAGTTGGACAGTTCTAAATATTCAGTTGCCATTTTTATTTTCAGGTTCAGTTTTATTATTATTATTATTTAATTACTTTATTTTTGTTACAGATGTTCCTTCTTTTTCCCCCATTGACACCTTCCTCCCGTTCCCGCACCCTGTCCTCCCACCAGCATTGTTGTCTATGTCCATTGGTTATACTTATATGTATAAGTTCTTTGGTTTATCTTTTTCAGGTTCAGTTTTAGGTGCGGTTAGGAGGGTGTTCCCCTGAGCCTTACCTGGTGACTGTACCTGGGTGGTGGGAGATGCCTAACAGCACCAGGATACCTTGGCCTGGGGCTAGTCAGGGCTGCTGACAATGCACAAGGATACCCTGGGAACCACTCAGCCACTCTGACCCTGACCCCCGAGTCAGGACGATGAGCCAGAGGCTGTCCAGACTTGAGGACAAAGTAACTAGAATAGTATTCCACTAACTCTTCTGGGCTCCGGGTCAAAAGATGCTCCCTGATGCACAATAGAAATACATCCCATACATGCTGGACTCATGTCCTACCCAGGAGAGCCTAGCTGGCAAGAAAGGGGCCCAGTGGGTGGGAAGTTTTCTTCCCAGGGCTCCCTATGTGTGAATGTGATTAAGTTCTCTTCTTGCCTCAGTCTCCCCAGAATTCCTTCCATGTCAGTATGCATTTCATTCTGTGACACCCAGAGCTGACTGAAATACATTCTGAAAGATCAGACCTGGGGGAGCAGAAACCTCTTACTTCTCCATGCAGGCCTACCCACGTGCTGGTGACCCAGGACGTCCCCAAACAGGGACCACACACACACACGCACACGCACGCACGCACGCACACACACACAGGCACACACACACACACAAACATAGGCACGCACACATGCACACACGCCCAAGGGTGTTTCTTGGAAAGGGGCTCTGGGCTCTGCAAAGGCTGTGAATGGAAAGGGGGAAATCTCTGGGAAAAGAGGGGGTGTGGAGGTTATGAAAGAGACAACACGAGGAAGGAAGAGGACCGATGCCAGGATCTCATCTCACATCCATCCGTCCATGGATGGCAAGTGCCAGGCTGTGGGTGCAAATGTCACTGCCTGTTTGCCAGGAGCAAAGCTCAGCGACCCTTCTCCCAACGTTCAGTGCGCTGCCAACACTTTCAGAACATGGTTGACTGTGTCCGCCTCTGCGCCTCTCCACCTACCACTATGGGCTGTGTGTGTGCGAGTGTGCGATTGTGTGTCAGTGGGTGGATGTGCGTGTGACTGTGTGCACAAATGCATGTGTGTGATTATGTGTATGGTTGTGTGCATGAGTGTGTGACTGCATGTGTGTGAGAGATTGTGTGTGAGGGATTGTGTGTGTGATTGTGTTTGTGTGTGAGAGATTGTGTGTACATGTGTGATTGTGTGTGTGCATGATTGTGTATGTGTGAGATTATGTGTGTGTGAGAGTGTGTGTGTGAGATTGTGTGTGTGAGAGAGATTGTGTGTGTGAGAGAGATTGTGTGTGTGAGACTGTATGTGAGAGATTGTGTTTGTGTGTGTGAGATTGTGCGTGTGTTAGAGTGTGTATAGAGTGGCATGAGGGCATCCTCCTGCCCCACTCCTGAAAGCTCGGCCTGGCAGTCACCGCCTGTGCAGCTGCACCTGCTCAGAGTCCTGCACCACCCCCACACCTGCTCCCGACAGGCCCAACTGCAGCAGCCTCTTGCCTCTGAAGTAGCCAGCCCTGGGGAGAGGACAAGGGACTTCCTCCCAGGGCCCTCACTGGCCTCAGCGAATGCACCGCCCAGGGAGCCCTTGACCAACCCAGGGGACGGGAGCCTGGGGACCTGCCACATAGTCGTTCTGCGGCTCCAGGCTTGGAAGCTTTGGGAGCTGGCAATCCGGGGGGTGGCAGGATTCATTTTGTTTCTCAAGCCAGACCATCAGCTGTGGCAAGCAAGCTGTGGTTAGGGGCACACAGGGCTCCTTCCACAAAACGTGGCCCTTGGACCTCTGGGGCATGGATGTATCAGCTGGGCCCGGGGGAAACCCCGGAGAGCTGGTCTACCATAGGCATGCTGGCCACCAGCAACTCCAGCCCGTCTCTCTTTTCTGACTCTTCCTGCAGCTTTGCTGAAGGACAGCTTCTCCGCTTTCCCTCCTTCCTTCCCCATTTTCTCTGAACATATCCTCTAGTTTCATAGAGCTCTCCAGTTGAAACTACATTTCGTAGGTGGGGACCTGCTTCTAATCCTTTTGGACCCTACAGTCCCAAGGACAAGCTTGTTACAAAACGCCTATATCATCAGCCTGATGCATGTGTCCTGATTTTTCTACCCATGTCACACATGTTCATTTCATTTCTTTGTGTTTTTATATGAAGGGTTTTATTTCTATGTTGGTCCATATATGTCTGTGAGTTAAGTATATTTTCACGTTTGAGTATATGTCAATATATTCTGCGATTCAAGATATTTACAAGATATATTCATTCATTCATGTACTCAAGAAATAGTTACTGAGAACCTCTTGCTCGCCAGGCACTGGGTTTTCAGCGCTTGGGATGCACAGTGACCAGAACAATGATCCTGCCCTCACAGAGCTTACATTCTAGTGGGGAGAGACAGACAATGAATAAGAAACATAGGAAGTAAATTATGAAACAGTTTGAGGAGGATGAGTACATGGGGGAAAAACAGAGCAGGGTACGGGAGAAAGGGACTGGGTGTGGGGCATGTTTGAGGAAGGTATCCTTGACAAGAGGACCTCTGAGCCAAGACTCAGGTGTGGGGAAGGAGTGAGCTACGCAGACCCACGGAGGAGGCATTCTGGGAAGAACAGACTTTGCAAAGCCCTGGGGCAGCAAGGAGGCCTGCGTGGCTGGAGGGGAATGAGTGGGGGCAGAGTGGAGGAGCTGAAGGCAGGAGGACAGTGGGATCGGCCAATGTGAGGACTTTGTTTTTTATTGGTGGACAGGTATATATTTTAAAAAAATTTTTTTCCCTTTATTGATTTTAGAGAGAGAGGAAGGGAGAGGGAGAGAGAGATAGAAACGTCAATGAAAGAGAACATCGACTGGCCACCTCCTGCATGCCCCCCACTGGGGAGGGATTGGGCCCACAACCTGGGCATGTGTCCTGATGGGAATCACACCGGCAGCCTCTTGGTGCATGGGGTGATGCTCAACCACTGAGCCATACCAGTTGGGTGGTGGGCAGGTATTTTGCTGGATAATGGTGAGTGGATGTGTTTCTGGGTGTATAAATGTGTGCACTTCTGAACAAAGAGCATGGGTGTGTCTGTGTGTGTGTGCTGTCTGCCACCAGGTCTCAAATTGGGCTCACAGGGCCGTTATCATACATCCACACAGTTTTCTGCCCCAGAGGCTGTTCCTTTAGAACACGTGTCAGGAGCCCAGCACTGCCCACCTGCCCATGTAAGGTCCACCAGGTGCTCTTTCCTCCCCAGTAACAGCAGAGGAAGCACCTGTAGGACCACACAGCCCCTGCTGGGACTGTGAGACCCATCGATGCTCTGCCCCGCCCCCCTCGCCTTCCACTACTCACTTAGTCTTGATTTCCAAGTCATCATGGCTGGAGTGGCACATCTCACTGAAGCGGGACACAAAGAAGTCATAGCTCCGATGATAGGATGGGGTGTCCTCCTCGATGTTGGCAAACTTCACAAACTATCCAGGAGGAGAGAGAGAAATGCACGGAGAGGTGACCCGCTGTGCTCCTCGCCTTTGCGCTCTGAAACTTGGCATCCCCAGGCCCCCTGCCATATTAAAGCCAGGGGACATCCACCTCTGGGGAACCATGCATCCCAGGACCTGGCTCTGGTCCGCTTCCCAGAGTACACCAAGTTCCAGATCCTGCTCACAGTTCCTGTCTGTACAGCAAGACCAGAACCCAGGGCCCTACTTGGCCCTTCTCTGCTGGGGTGAGCAGAGGATGCTAGAGAAGAGAAAGTAAAACAGGACTCTGAAATGCTGGCTTCCTGTTACATCCAGAGCGGCACCGAACACACACAGGCTGGGAGGCTGGGACCAGTAACACGGAGACTGAGCGCCCTCACCAAACACACGGCGCTCACTCTTCCACAGTGCATCCCGGGAAACAAGAACAAATCTGAAATCTGATTAAAAAGTGTAATCACATTTGATTGCTAAAAATGGGAGTACATTTGTAAGTTTGCCGTTTCGTGTCAGTAAATCTTGCTCAGCACTCCCAGCTGTTGGATGCCATCTGCCATCACCATGCTGCACATTTGCAAGTCTAAACAGGGCCTTAATTTCCACCGGATGCCACAGAGAAGCAAAGACCACAGACTAAATGAAGTTAAATTACTAATAAGTTAAATATAATTCTTATAGGTTATTTTATTTGTTGTTATAAATTTAGTAGTGCAAACAACTCTAAAAAGACTAGATTTAAAATATATTCTCCATTATTCTGACTTGTTTTTTAATCCTTACCCAAGGATACTTTTCCACTGATTTTTAGATAGAGTGGAAGGAAAGTTGGGAGGGAGGGAGAGAGAAACATTGATTGTTCACCTCCCACATGACCCCAGTCAAGTCCAGGGATCCAATCGCAACCGAGGCACGCGCCCTTGACCAGAATCGAACCTGCGACTCTTTGGTCTTAGGACCGACGCTCCAACTGCTGAGCCAAACCTGCCAGCGGTTTGTTGTTGTTGTTGTTTTTTAATCCTCACTCGAGGTCATTTTTCCATTTTTTGTTCAGATAGAGTGGGAGAGAGAGAGAGGAAGAGAGAAGCATCGACGTGAAAGGGACACATCGAGTGGCTGCCACCCGCATGACCAACCAGGGCCGGGGACAAACTGCAACTGAGGTACGTGCTCTTAGCGGGAACCGAACCCGAGTCTCTCTGGACTGCAGGCTGACGCTCTAACTGCTGAGCCAAACTGGCCAGGGCCGGCCAGTGGTTTTTTAACTGCTACAAATATTTTTGTGGGTTCAAAAAGGATATACGATTGAGAGGATCCTAGTACCAATTCCTGTGTGTGTGTGTGTGTGATTTCCATGGCACCAACAAACAATGCTCCAGACACCAGCTGGGTGTCTTAGACTTCAACTCAGTTATGACACTATTTATCCAGAGACAACATCAGACCCCACAGTCAAGGGTTGTCCTATAAGACTACCCCCACCTTCAGACTCCAGTGGCAAGTTCAGGGTGTCACCTGTGTTTTTGACTGACCAGCTGCTGACGGAAGGTTCTCACAGCCCCCTCCTGGGGTTTGATTAATTTGCTAGAGTGGCTCACAGTACTCGGAGAAACATCTTACTAGAGTACCAGTTTATTATAAAAGGATATGACTCAAGAATAGCCAGGTAAAGAGATGCAGAGGGCAAGGTACATGGGACGGGATGAGAAGCTTCCACGCTCTCCCCAAGAAGGCCGCTCTCTCCACAACACCACCTGTTCGCCAACCCAGAGGTTATCCAAACCCCAACCTTTTGGGTTTTGTGGAGGCCTTGTCACATAGGCATGATTGATTAAATCATTGGCCACTGGTGACCAAACTCAATCTTCAGCCTCTCTTCTCTCCCTGGAGCTTGTGGGGCAAGGGACTGAAATCTCCCACCCTCTAATCACATGGTTGGGTCTCCTCCAAAGTCGTCTCACTAACATGCACCTCTGTGGTGGTGGAAAGGGGCTTTTTATGAATCATGACACCTATTTCACCTCTATGGTGCTTATCACTTAGGACATTTCCAAGGTTTTAAAGCTCTGTGCCAGAGACAGGGACTCAGACCAAACATACAACATTGTAACTATTCCTAAACGTAGCTAGTTAGTTCGCTCTCACAATGGTCAGTATTGACTGTCAATCTATTTTCCTATTTAAATACTTAAAAGTTGTTAATAAGTTTTTTTTATGCATAAAATTAGCAATTTCCACAAACATCATTAATTATTGTAGTATTTTGTTCTTGCAATACAGGTATACATTTATTTTCTGCTGGCTGATACAATCTTAACATACAAAGCTGATAAGGTAATCTTTCCTTCCAAGTTACATCTAAAATGCATACATATATTTGCAAGCAAATATTTTTATTGATTGATTGATTAATTGATTTTAGAGAGAAAGAGAAAGGGAAAAGAGAGAGAGAGAGAGAGAGAGAGAGAGAGAGAGAGAGAGAGAGAGGCATCCATTTGTTGTTTCACTTATTTATTCATTTATTGGTTGTTTCTTGTATGTGCCCTGACTGGAGATTGAACTTCCAACCTTGGCCTATTGGGAGAATGCTTTAACCAACTGAGCCATCCGACCAGGGCCTGCAAGCAAATATTCTGATATTAGCAATAAATCCGAATGACATGGCTTGCACTGTTGCTGTGGTTGTGCAGAAGAGGCGTAGTGTAATCCATGTGATCACAAGATTACTGATTAGACACAAGTTCTGGAGTTCTGGAAACAACAATGAAGTCAGCCTTTGGCTCCATGACCTTCATAAGCCCCCTAAGGCTAGAACACAGACCTAGGCTGATACGGAGGCTGAAGCTAAGTTTGTCTGAAGCTAAATTTGGGTGCATTGCTGCTCTTAACCATGAACAGGATGTTCCCAGGCTGCGCTCCCCACAGCTGAAGCCTGACTTGGGCAGGGCATCTGTCTACTCAGAGGGGACATGCAGCTGCAGGAGCTCTACCTGCAGGCCTACTCTGCTAGGAGGTGTGACTTTTGTATAAAGTGAGCAGCCTGCTCTTCATTCACTCGAGATCTTAATTTTTTTCACTTATACTTTATTTACTTCCCATATGATGAAGCAGCTTAAAATAAGACTGACTATTTGTGTGTCTGCAAAAGTGCATGCATTTGAGAATAATTAAAACAAGACTGAAAAAAAAGAGGCCACTAATAAAAAGGGAGAAACAGTCCAACCAAGACTTTGCCCATAACGTTTAGTGTCAGCGTGGACTCAGATGCATGTCAGGGGAATGAATGACCAACCTTCATGTTCACTGGTTTGGGACTTTATGGGCTGATAGCAATGAAAGTTTAGAAACTTATATAGAGCAGGTACTACCTTAAGCATTTTACATACATCATCTCTTTTATTTCTTATAATGACTCTAAGTAGAGAGCTATTATTATTATTCTAATTTTACAAAGAGACTGAGACCCACAAATGTTAAGTAACTTGCTCAGGACCCTGCAGGCGTGACCTGGGTCTCAACCCCCTGTGCCTCCACGGCAGGGCAGCCGGGCTCTATCCTGTAAACCCCCTGCCTTCTATTCCTGCTCACTGTCCTGCCACTGCCTCGACCATGACTCAGCACAGTCGCTCACACAGTGAGGGAGGTGGATCATTGTCAAGAACAAGCAGAGGATGAAGCCGTGCTGGGTGACCTCAGTTTGGTCCCATCAAGGAAGCTGGGAGAGGGAGGGCAGTCGTTTCCAAACACTGCGGTACAGCAGTCAGGGCCTCCAACCCAGGCATGCCGTCGGTCCTGGACAAGGCCCAGGGAGTCACCTTTTAGCAAAGGCCCAGGAAACTGGTGGATGGGCTGATGGGCTGATGGGCCGAAGGGATGCTGCAGGGTCACTGGCAGGCAGCCTGTCCTCTTCGCTTCCTCTGCACCCGGACGTGTGTCTGAATCGATCCCTATCTCCGGAGTGTGCCATCAACTCCCCCTTCATGTTCCATGTTGACTCGCCTCCTCCTCAAAGCGCCATGGAGCCATGAGCAGGACTGGCCCGTCGGGCGGCTGGCCTGGGCACTGCTCGCTTCTGTGCCGTCCAGGCTGCTCAGTCTTTCCACTAGGACCCCCTGGCCGTGAGGTTAGAACCGAGATTACAATTCATTTTTTAAAATGAAAAATTTGGTGACAGCCATGAAGGTAACGCAGGGTAGAAAACACGTCCAGGATTCTTTCTCTAAGTCCACAGTGGCCTTTCTCTAGACTGGGCCCACGGGGTCGTCGGGATCTATTCCAACCGAGGCACCGCAGCTGATAACTTCTGTGACCCTCTGTGTCCCTAGATCTTTGCTCTCCTGTACTCTTTCCCCCGGAAACTTATTTTTGAGTCTTCTCCTCAGATTTTGATTTTTTGACAGAATGGTTCTTCTACTTAAAGACTACGCTCCCCCTCCATTGGCGGGGCCTGTGACCAGCCGCCCTCTGCACCTTGTCATCTGTGCGACCATGGACATGCCGTGTAACTTCGGGGCCACTGTTCCCTCATCTGTAACATGGGGACACCAGGACTGATGCCATAGGGTGGTCGCCAGGGTTGAATGACCAGCACAGCGCCTGGCACTGAGGAGTGCTCGGGCACAGCGCTTTGGTGGACACAGTGACAGTGGTGGCTTGTGGTCTGTTCCATCCGCTCCGGGCAGTGTGACCCTTGTCCCTTCCTTGCCGCCAACACGGACCTAGACGGGCAGTCACAGAGGAGGAGTCTGGACAAGCAGTGTGGACCATGCCAGCAGCACGCTCAGAAGAAAAGTGGTCACAGCCACCCCTCAGAGGACTGGCGCTGGAGGGTGGGAGCGGGGGTGATGACAGAGCACAGGGCAGCTGGAAGGTGGGGCCGAGCCCCTGAAGCACCATCCGGGGACTGAAGGTCACTTAGTGAACAGGGTTGGCAGGACTCTTGCTCTGTTCCGAAGTCTGGCAAGGAGAATGCACGTGCTGCCGTACGGACGGAG